ATAACAAGGCTGAAAAGAATGCTTGTCAACTTCAATTTTGCCAAACATGTAAATGTTACAAAAATAACCTTTACAAAAATCCCCAGACAAACCAAAATATTTGCACGATATAAGGACAAAGATTACAAAGCTGAACAGACAAATTACATACAAATAAGCCCTGGTAGCCTAGAGAACCAAAATACTTCGTCATGGGGATCCTCTGAGTGAAAGAGCTCAGAATGAAAAGAAAAACTGACTTTATGCAGACTTCTGCTGTCCATATAAAAAGGCATGCAAGCACACAAGGCAGCACTGATTGCTTTTATTAACTGCTGTTTGTGAAAATACCACACTCAAGTCCTTTGGAGTCCTTCAGATTTATGTATCCATGTGGAGCTTCAGGGATTACAATGGAGAACCAGGAGTTTGCTCACCTAATGCAGGATCAGACCCTGAGCCAAAGTACACAGATTTTACTGGGAGAATATCCCTCTGAGTTAGGACTATTTTTTCACCAAGACAGTTTGGCTAGTGAAACATTGAAATAAGTACATTTATGCTTAAACAAAACTGCATTCTCCAGTTATGGCGTATTTCTATAGGGAAATATAAACAAACTATACTGCTAAGTTCATATTAGACCTCATCACATTTTTACTGTTTTGATTATACTGATAACAGTACAACACATATCTTGCATATCTATAGTGCTTAAAATCAAACTAGCTGAAAAAATATGTTCACAAAGCTGGGTTGTTAAAGAGCTGCTTCCCTTCGGTGGTAGTTACACATTCCCTGGCATCAAAATTTCCATCAGTGAACAGTGACAATGTATGCATTACGTGTTTGAATCTGAAAACAAATGGCAAAGCCAAGATAAGCTGTTTTACCAGACTAAATGAGGAGAAAAGCAAGGGCATGGAGACTGATCCTTTTTTAATGTCAAACTGGAGATTTTTTAATCAAAGGTAAATTCATGACAGTTATCTCACTATACAGATAGTCAAGTAACTTTTATTTGTTCAATTTAATAAACTAAATTTTGAGAGTGTAAGGAGCATTTATCTTTTTGAATGAATAGAAATCCCATCTTTCTAATGGCAATTGTTCTTTCTGGCCTCAGTGAAGGTGATTATATTCCTAAAAAGTGGTGTCATTTGTGTCATTGTCATTGAGGGAGTTCAGAGACTATAAATCAATTTACAGCCTGTTTAAAAGCAGGGGACAAAACCTATGAACATTAATTTTAAAACTGCTTCAGATTACTATTCTTTTATGATTAACTAAAGTGGACTTCAACCTCCTTTGAGATTTCCGTGTTAGTGTGATAAAATTCATTGCTTTTAACAAATGGACCAGTTTCAGTGACAGTGTTTATTCAGTACATTGCACATGCACGGCACTATACAGCAAGTGGAAGGTCACTTCATTAATCCTTGCTCCAAAGGTGTAAGTGGATATGATTGTATGCAATACAAAACCAATACATATTGATTAGCATGACAATGCTCCACTGAATAGGTATTTCTTAAAAGGAGAGTGGAAGCAGTTTGGTACAGGAGGTCTCCTTTGCCCTGTCCAGTGATGATGTTAAACCAATACCTCACCACAGTACCTCATGGTCGCCATGGTGTAGCAACAGCCCCAGTGCCAATCTGGCTTAAATAGTGTTGTTAGAGAAAAACCTGTAGCAAAGTCTATACAGCTATACATCCCCTGGACCACCCAGGATGCCCCAGAGTACGCTGGTGCCAAGGTTAGGTTACTCCCCCCACTGTGTAGTAGTGAATCACTGCTTGGCATACATAGCTGTCCTCCCAGAACCGGTTCCTTTGAGGCTCTTAAAATGCTTGTACAAGACAGAGATGAGTCTGTTTTACCTCAAAAGTGCCGTTTATGGCCAGGTCCAAACTCCATGCCGTTATGGTCACACATGCAGACAACCTCCAAGTGTCTGGTCTGTTGAATAAGACAGACTAGCCAATGACTTGTCTCAGGAATACAGGGATGCCTGTTTGGTGAAGGGCTGAGGCCTTGAAGAAGGTTACATAGGGATGCATGCTCAACCCTAATGGACATGGCTGTTCAAACTGATTTGATCTCACATGCCTCAGCTCCCCCTGTGCCTGCCCTGTGATGGATCTAAACTGGCAAGCTGGGGGGTGAGGTGGGGAGTGATAAAAGTATGAAAAAACCATTTATATTTATTATATTTATTGGGAAGTAGGCAGCATCAAGCAGATGGAATCATGTGAAATTGCTGGTCAGGCAGTAAGAGATGAACACAAACTAAGAGGGAATGGAAAGAAAAGACAGATGATGCAAGCAAATAAGACATGTCAGTTGTAGTGACTTTCAGGATATCTATTTCTCAGCCAATGAGAATGTCTTGTTCCTGGTTAATCTGTAAGTCCCTGAATCTAGAATTTCCTCTTAAGGCTTCATTTTGCTAATAAAAAGTTAATACAGATTTTGCTGTCATACAGGGAGCCTTTCCACTGAGGTCACTGGAACCATATCAGTAGGAAACTGATGGGAGAAGAGAATCAAGACACCTGTGCTTGAGCAGGCCCAGGGCGTGGTGGCCACAAGTGTTCCTGCTCCCATAGCTATCTGTTGGGGTCTCAGGTAGCAAAACTACTTCAAAACAGGTATTTATTACTTGAGGTGTAAGCTGAACACAATGTTTGGGGCATTTTCCCCACAGATCACTAGAATGCAATTTAGTGTTGGAAAAGCTGACACAATTTCATACAACAGCTGCTGGCTGCTGTTTATCTGCTTGTGTCACTGGGTTGATCAAAGCTTTGATGTGGAAGCATCACTTGAGAGTGTGTCTGAAAGTGCAACTTAATCATAAGGGCTTGACATTCCAGGCGACAGCAAGCAGCTAGGAGAGCTTATAGAAATGTGCTGGAGAGTCAGAGTTAACCGTGAGGAGGCTCTGGGAATTTTCTGCTGAACACAAGGAAGAAGGAGGGTGAGAGAAGGAGTTAGAAAATCATGCACGTCTCAGCAAAACATGCATTCCTCTACCTTTAACTTCAAGGCTGTCTCCGCTTAATAAAGTGGTTAAGCAGACCCTCAATTTTACTTACGGCAAATATCTTAGTCTGCACTTATTGTTGAGCACGTGTTTAAATGCTTTGCTGGTAAACTAGCTAGCTCTCAGTAAAATGATCTGGTTACTGCATACTCATTTAAATTCCCAAATCGTGTAGCTACTTCGAGCAATGAACATCTGCTCCGGAGGTGGTGTCACATGGGATATTTGGCCTTTTTAACGTGGATGACAAGTTGCTAAAAATCTGTTTCTCTCCATGTAGCATCGGTGTGGTACTACTGTGTGCTGCACCCAGCAAACTTTCCTCTGTGACTGTAGAACATCTTATCTGGTTCAGGTTTATTATCTGGCTGAAGAGGAAACAGAAATGCTTTTAGGCTTGATTGCTACATTTCATAGAACAGTCTCGTGAACATGTTGAGCAGATTGACAGAGGTACATTTAAATATAGATAGGTACAGTGAACTCATTTGTTTGAAGGTTTAGCTTTGGTAAAGCCATATTTACAAGCATCCAATTTCCTGACAGTTTTGTTCCAAATGTGACACAGACACATCTGCTTCTGCACTCTCACACAATCCTTACTCAGAATTTCAGCAGAACCTCATTGTTGCTGCTAAATTGTAGCTGTATTTTGTGGAAATACGTTTTACTCAGAATTCTTCAACTCTCATTGACTCCACTCTGATTTGCATTTCTCTGTATAAGCCTAATAGTTAAAATTTCTTTGAGTTCTTCAGTTTCACAGGAACAATGATGTTACAGAATGAAGAACATGCTTTGTTCCTGTGGAGACTTAAGTCTGTAATGCTAATGTGTTTCTTCAGTGCATCGTGTTGCTTATGTTTTTTTTTTTTTGTAGCATGAAGGGACAGGGCATATATCTGTAGTCCATAGTGTATTTCACTCAAATGACATCCTTACTGAGGCAAAACAGTTCACTTTGGTACATGAGGCAGGAGTGATCCTGTATAAATTGGCAAGAAAAAGCATAGTATGAAAACTCAACCATATTCCTTAAGTATTAGTTGCAAAGAACATAGCTAATCCTGTTTTACCCTCTCTTTCTGAACTCAATAAGGAACTTATTTACATCTAAATGCCACACAATTGATCTCTGCCCTGACCCAATGTTCCAGGGGAGTCTTTCCTTCTCTTACAGTGACGCGGATGGATCTATCTTTGGCATGGAGACGAAGACTACAAAGTTCTCTTCCTAGGACTGGCAACGCACTAGGATGGTGATGGAGTAACTGGAATATAATTACAAAACACAGACCAGAAAAGAGGACGAGGAAATGAAACCAAGACTGCTTCACCACCCTGCGGGAAAGCAGGAGAAAGGAATGCAAATCCCAAAGCAGATGCTGCGTGTAAACATACCGGAGCAGCGCCGAACTCCTCACGGGGAGACTTCCCCTTCAACCAGTCCCCCTGTTTGTCTCCCGCCAGAGGAGAGCGGGAAGCAGCTGAGCAAGGCCCGGCCCCGCGCTGGGGCTGAGCCCGGCGGGGTGCAGCCTCCAGGGGTCTCCTGGGCCACCGCCTCCCCGCTCCCGCAGCGGCGGGGGCACCGCGGGGAAGGGAGACACGACAGCACCAGGCACGGGGGGACGCACAGCACCCCCACGACACGCATACGCATACATATACATACGTACCTATACACACATACACACATGACACACCGCCGCACCGCGCGTACGGACACACACGCAGAAGCTGCCCCGCATCGCGCAGCGGGCACACGCGCACCGCACCGGCACACGCGCGGAAGCACCGCCCCGGCCCGCCCCCGTCCACCGCCTCCCTCCGCCCGCCGCGCACATAGACACCACGCACACGCCCGGCTGTAAATGACTGACTGACGGACGGACGGGCGAACAGACAAGTAGGGACGCCGGGCTCTGGAGGGATTATTCACCCCGTACCAGGGACACGCAGGAAACCACTTCACCTACCCCGCGGGCCGGGCGGGGGCAGGAGGGTCCCCAGCCCCCACCGGTGGACGGCGAGCGCCCCGAGTGTCGGAGGAGCCTGACCAGGTAACGTGTCCCTCCCGGGCAGCACCGCCGGGCTGAACGGGCAGCCGGCTCAGGCCGTGGGGCGCCGCCGGATACGCCGGGGGCCGGCTGGCGGGAGTGGGCAGAGGCCGCCCTGATTCTCCACTCAGGTGCTGAGGGGATGCGGGCGGGTGGTGCCCCGGAGCGCGGGTGGCCCCCCGCCGCTTGGCCTCGCCTTCCCAGCCCGCGGGGCGGCGGCTCCCGGCCGCCCTGCGCCGACCCGCGGCGCGGCTGCAGTGGTGGCGGCGGGGGATCGGGGCTGCCGGTGCTGCAGCTCCGCGCTGATCCCCGGGAGCCGCGCTCTGGTGGCGGCAGGGATTAGCGCGGGTGGCTGGCAGGGGGGACACCGGCATCGATGTCTTTGTGGCGTGGTGGGCAGGGGCTGGGTGCCCTCAGGTGTCAGCCGGGGCCGGCCCAGCCGCGGCAGCGGCGCCGCGGTGCTGGAGGGGGAGGCCCGGAGGCGCTGTGGGTCTCGGCCTGTGCCGGACGCAGCGGGGAAGCTGGTGCCGCGGTGGCTGCAGTGTGCAGTTAACCTGTGAGGATGTCAGGGAGAAGCGGTGGCAGAAATGTCAGTGGGTAGGGCTGGGGCACTGGCCGTCAGTCGTGTGTGGCCTTTGCAGCGTGGTTGGGTTTGGAAGCAGGAGGTAGAGGGTGCTGCCCGTGTTTTCCAAAATCAGATGGCACGCGTAAAAAGTGGAGCAGATGGTGGTGGTTGTGGTTATTATGGAAGAGGTTCATGAAAATCCTGTATTTCCTTTAGATAGTTTTTGTGTTGCCTCTCCTGGCTGAAAGAGGGGATTTTTCACTTGGCAAGGAAAAGTGTTGCTGCGAGTTGGCTTGTAAAGGAGCGGGGTGGTTCTGCCTTTTCTCGGAGAAGGAAACCCCCCCACAGCTTTATGTCTCCGTCTCACCTTTGAGACTGACAACAGTGTCTTGGCGTAGAGAGAAACTGCAGTAAGCTTTATTTCTTATTGCACCCCTTTATAGTTGAATGTAAATAGAAGCGAGACTCAGAATCTCCTCTTATCCTTTTCTATGCCAGATGTGTTTTTCTATCTAGTATATATTGCACTTGAAGTGTTAAACTCTTAGGGGGCACGGAGGTGGGGGTGTGAGGCAGGGTCTGCTAGTTACTTCAAACAATTCTCTTTGCACATACTTAAGAAGGAAAAAAAGGAACATGTTGTAAAAGCAGCTGAGGAATATATAAAAGTGAAATATTAATGAACTGAAAAAGCTCAGATAGCAAAGACATTGCGCCTAATCATTTGGGAAGATTCTTGTCTTTTTTACAACTCCTCGTTGTATGTGTGCCTGTAGTACAAATGCAGTCGGTATAAAGGACAGCAATATTTGTATTTAAATAGCTCGAAGTAGTAATAGTACATAATTTGTTTTTTTGCCTTGGTGATAATCTCTGCAGTGGCTTGGTTTAGCCATGATTTTTGAGGCTGCTGTAGGACAGAAAATTATTGCAGAAACAGAAAAAATATTTCAAGAATGTTTTCTTAGAAATGGAAATGGGAAGGACTGACTGAGACCTGGAATAACCCAGAAGAGCAACTAGAGCCTTAGAAAGACCTCTTACAGACATGATGATAATTTATTTTGCTCTGATGTTACTATTTATCTCTAGCATCCCAAACGAAGTGCAGCATCTCGTAAATGGGCAAGACTGTCCCAGCACAAGGTAGTACATGGCTGTCCATGAGCTGCGGAAAGCGTGTAGTACAAACAAGGGATATTTTCTGCAAATAGCATTTCCTTTACATCTTGGAGTCTGGAGTGCAATGGTCCCTGTAAATTGACGAACTTCCCCAGCTTGGCTTGAAAGGATACTGAGTGCAGCAGCTTTCTGCAGCAGCCTGATGAGGAAATCTAGTTCAGTGGGAAAGTTGTCTGTCAGCCACAGGGTGAAGTCCTGTGGCCCTGGCTGTAATCCCTGGTAGGACTTTTTGGAATAGCTGGTGCATATTGGTTTGAGTGAGGCCTGCCTTCTCATGAGCTTGGTGCAGGCCCCATCAGGCAGCATAGACGTGGGGAGCTGTACCATAAGGAGGAGCTGGAACAGTGCATAGGGTATGTACCATGTCTGGGTTACAAGAGATATTGCTTGGTGTTTAAGTCTGTTAGTCACAGAAGATGCTGAAAAACCATCTTGTATCTTCAGGTCTAAGCATATGGTTGTGTGAATGCATGATCTGTCATGCTGTGTGAGCTGCCTGTGGTTGAATCTCTCCTTCTTGAGTCAAGCCTAATACCTCATTTAAGCCTTTGTAGTTAATAGCTGGACATTGAACAACTTAAAATTGGCAATGTCTTACTTCACTAGATAGTGTTTCATAAATTGCAAGAGAGAAGTAGAAATGTTGCTCCATCTGGATGAATTCCTACTCCTCCATGAAGGTTCATGGAAGATACTATGGCTTGGTTGGATTACCGCCCCTGGAGTATTTGGAAAGTCAGAATTGCATAAGGGCAATGTATGGTTTTATGTTTTGTCAATAGCGCAGATGTGAGTACTACTGAGAAGTATTTTGTTAAAATAATGGTAGATTTTGAGAAACATACAGATGTGCACATTCTGAAGACATGACATTTTCACTGAGGTTGAGTTCCTGGGTTATTTTCACTGTACTTCTGGAGGTGTTCTAATGTAAAGAGGCTGTGTATTTTACCAGGTGTTATAGATCTTTGAGGCAAGGTAAGAAGTGAAAGCTGCACAATTGTTTTTCTGAGGTTGATTAATACAAGTAAAGCATCTGAGGACATAGCATTTGTGTGTCAGTGAAAGTATCGATGGAAAAGAAACCTTGCAGACATTTCAAGTCAAACGGTGCACATTATATTTTTGGAATACCCACCAGCTTGTTAGGCAGAAGAACTGAATTAAATTCTCTATCTTGCCAGAGTTACTGCTTGTTACAAGATTCAGTGCCTCAGGTCTTCCCCTTGTGAGTAGTTCTGCTGCAATTGGATGGGGGTGGTGGTAGGGGAACAAAAGGAAGCATATGCATAAATAAAATAATGGCAAGTAGGGGCTGGGTTTGTTTACTGGGAAATAATTATGCAGCTTAAGGTTTTTCTCTCATTATTGCGTTTATTTGGCAGATTTCTGCAGTGATAGTAAACTGGGTTTACTTGGTAAAGTGAATATGCTTTCGTATCAGACTTTAGCTACTGAATGTGCTGTGTCTGTGAGATGGCATGCAAAATACAGAACTTGTAAGCATATAAAACCTGTAGTGTGATTTTTTGCTTCTAATATTTCATGTATATTCCTATGCTTGAGTAAGGACCTATAACTTTGAGGTTATGGAAGATGGAGCCATATATTTTACATCCAATTGTATTAAACCTCTGTAGCTGTTTGCTAGTTAAGCATGTTGATACTTGATGCTTTTTGACTTGTTCTCACTGCCCTACCTTACACAGTGTATCGCACTATATTTTTATATAGAATATATAAGCACATACTTGGTGACTGCAGACTGTTGTATCATTTATCCACTGTATGACAAAATGTTAATGTTTCCTATGCAGTCTACTGCTCTTACCTGAAAAGTGATCTGTCCTGTTAGAGAATAGTTGTTTTATAATAAAATGTAAGGCAGAAGAAACCACAGACAGGCAATAAGTAAAAGCAGAAAAGTCCTGGATGTGGAAAAAGCAAGAAGTTTTTAAAATGTGCACTGTAGTCTGTTGCAAGTGTTTTGTAATTCTGCACAGAAACCAACCAACCAAAAAAACAACACAAAAAACCAGACAACCCCAAACTCAACAAACAACCCCCCAAAAACTTAGAGAAACAAAACCAACCCCAAAATACACTGTCAAGGGGTGTTGTAAGGTCTGAATGATGATGGTTTTGTGTACAAATGTTCTGTGTTGAATATAGATGACTCCATTTTTTTTTTTCCCCTGGTTATGCTAGAAAAGTCCCTGTGAATGTTGAGGTATGAATGTGTAATTGTTTTCTTCATAGATGGGAAATTGAGGTGGTGGTGTGTTGAAGTCACACAGTTGATTTGTGATAAAGATAATTGAACTGGAATATGCATCCCAAGTCACATGGTCTTATCTTAATGACTTAACTGCTTTAGTATAGTTATTTTGATAACTTGGCATAGATGTAGAAACTTCCTACAGATGCAGTTGCAGGATTTGGGTGTGGAGTTAGGCAACATTTTCTCTATAAAGGTTAATTAGTAGCAGATTATTTTTTTTTTCAGTTGAGGAGAAAAAGCTTTTCCTGGATTTTCTTTAGCTGCTGAGTTTGAGAGAAAGGAGTTCAGCGCTCATAGAATGCAATGACACTTTTGCATTATTTAAGGAAATAGCTCTTAATTTTTTATAATGCTCTAACATATCAGGAATTTGAGATCCAGTTCAGTCAGTAATGCTTTTGAGGGTCACAGCTGTCTTCCCACTGCGAAGAACCAGTTGTGACAGACTGGTAGAAAGCTTTAAAAAATGCCTTTTTTCCCCTATACGTTTTGGTGCAAATCATTGCCTCTGAAAATGTGTTGATTGGTTCTAGTGCATTTCCAGCTCTGGCTTTCTTCTTAGTTTTTGCCTCTTTCACTTTTGTTTTTGGGCCTCTTTCCTGCTCCTTCTTTGATGTGCCATCTTGATGTGATCTCTTAAAATGTTTCCATGTGAAAATAGCAGCTTTCAAGCCATTTACTGATTTTGTGTAGTACAGTGAGATTTAGATTTGGGTGAGAGTATAGTACAGAAATATTTAACATCTACATATTGCTTGTGTCATAGCCTAAAACCTTGTCATTTGAAGCAGAACCTGTGAAGCCATGATGTCTGTGCACATCACCTTCCAGTGATGTTAACCTGTCAGTTAGCCATGCCAGCAAAATCTGACACCCTGAGAAAGGTGGAGTCACCTGGTTCAGCCAGAATGTGGTAGAAAGGGTGTTTTGTGTTGAGGTGGCAATGGCAGCTTCTGCCCCCTCTGCCAGTTACCAAATACACTAGCATTTTCTGCTTTGCGTTTTTCTCTTTTGTAGTAGGTAGTAGTTCCAAATTCTTCAGTGTCTTTTAGCTATATTTACTGCAGTGCCAGTCAGGGGTGTGTGTGTGGTGTATTCTGCACTCCCCTGGCTTATTTATTCATTAATTTAAAAGTATTTTGTATTTTTTTTACTGTATGGCTGATGAGGGGAGAGTTTTGCTATCAATTCTCAGAGAAGTTTTGGCCATTTAAGCCAGTGGCAGAACTGCTGCTTATTTGAATAGGAGCCTTGGTGCCTGTTTTAA